ACGAAATTTTGGTTCTTTGAATGATGACATGGATGTCTCGTGCATTTGAATAAGCTTGAGTTTTATCCAAAATCTCCTGAACGATTTCAAAACGTACTTGAAAGATAATGAAAAAAGAATATCTGAATAATTCTGGGTAAAATCCTAATAAAATGAAGAAGGCCAATCTTACAGCATAAATAAAGACATGTGAACTTCGAAATTGTAACACCATGAATAGAATGCCATCCAAAGCAAGGTTCTTGTACGACTTTGCAAAAAAATATTTCTGAATTATAATGATATTTGCTTTCATAATCACTACTGATGATAATGGTAGTGGAAGTTACGAACTTATTCATCCTCATTCATATCTTTCCAATATTTGTTACAATTCACTGCACGCACTGATAATGGTATTCATGGCAATACTAATAACAAGAAGGACGACTACATTAACAACATTGATGATGATGATGATGATGATGATGATGATGATGATGATGATGATGATGATGATGATGATGATGATGATGATGATGATGATGACAATAATAAAAAATAATAATAATAATAATGATAATAATAAAAAAATAATAAAGATAGTAATAATATCAGTAATCCAATCAATAGTATAAACTATCAAAATAATAATAACTGCTTTGATAATAATATCTGGTCACAATGAGAACTATAATAAATAATGAAATTACTAACTGGATCACATCAATAATAAAAGTAATGTGACAATGGCAGTGATGAATATGATGATGAATATGATGAGTAAAATGATGATAATGATGATTAATATGATGATAATGATGATGATCAATATGATGATGATGATGATGATGATGATGATGATGATGATGATGAAGATGAAGGTGAAGATGATGACTGATATGATGATTATTCTCATCACCATCACTATCTTTATTTCATTATCATTATTATTACACTTAGTATAATTATTACTATTATCATTATCATTATTATCATTATTATTATCATTATTATCACTATCATTATTAATAACACTATTATTTTTATTGTTATTACAATCACTATCATCATCATAACTATCATTACTATTTCTATTATCATTCTTATTATTACTATTATCATCATCATTACTATTGTCTTTACTATTATTATTATCATTATCATGAACATCCTTAATATCATTACTACTACTATTACTATTATAATCATGATTATAATATCAATAATGATAATTAGAATTGCACTCATAAAAACAATAATGATGATGATGACAATGATGGTGACAATGACTATGACTATGATGATGATGATGGTGATGACAAAAATAACAAAAACAAAGATAATAATAATAATAACAAAATAATAATAGTAAAGTACTACTACTACTACTACTACTACTACTGATAATAATAATAATAGAATAAGAGCATAAGTACTAGTAATAAAAAGCAATTACAGTAAATAATATTAATAATAATAATAATAATAATAATAATAATTATAATAATAATAATAACAATTATTACTTTTATTATTATTATTATAACAATAATGATGATAATGATAATAATAATAATAATAATAATAATAACAATAATAAAAATAATAATGATAATAGTAAGAATAATGATAGTAATATTAATAATAACTATAATAATAATAATAATGATAATAATAAAAAGAGTACTACCACTACATAAAAATAAAAATAATAATAATAATAATGATAATGATAATAATGATAATGACAATGACAATGACGATGACAATGAAGATGATACTAGCTAACTAAAACAGTCTAATAATGATAACAATAATACTGATAACTTTAATAATAATAATAATACTTACAAACATAACCATTAACAAAAACAGATACTTCTTAGACTCATAGATACAAAATGCAAAAATCAAAGTAAATTTCTAATCAATGAGGAATAACCTTCACTGATCTTCATAGACCAAAGTGGAAATATTCTTTAAAACTACACCAAAATTCTCCAGAAGCAAATCAAAACACATTTCTTACTATTAAAAAAGTTTGTAAAATATTGAGAATAATATCATAAATAAGTTTTTGTATATTAGTATATACCTATTAGTATAAATTTCATTTCTAAGAAAGTCAATAAGCCAAAATGGAAATAAAGAAGGTTCTAAGGTTTTGTAATATAGAGTATCAAAAAAATTAATTATATTATCTAGTTAAGTAAAACAAGAAATTGAATGACTTATCCAATACAAAGAATAAGTACATTAGTTTAATTGAAACCATAGTAGAAAATATGATATTATTAAATAAAAGCAAAAGATCACCTTATTCCAGATGTGCCATCAATTCATTATAACATTCATAGGGTTTAAAGTTATTTACAACATATCGAAAAACGAAAGTTTACTGTAAACTATTGAATATGTTTATGTTTGAGGTTTTTCTAAACTTTCTTCCCAATGAAATAACTTCTCGAAAGGCTCACGAATTTGACCCATCATACTTATCCTGGCATATGAAGGTCCATGGACTTTTTAAAAAGTGATACTAGTAAATTATTCTTTTTCTAGTATTTTTTAGAGGAGAAGAGACACCATTTAGCTCATCCTTTAGATGAAATAGGAATATGTTTGGTAAAAAGATTTCCTTGCAACGATAACAATAATCATCACTGATGATTTATGATTTTATGATGAATAGGAACTCGTAGCTCTGAAAATAATAACTGTGACAAAGCAACAATATTCAACCTCACCATAACTATCATTATCAATCGTTTTCCCTAGGAAAAATATTTCTTACCTGTGTTTCCTCTGATTCTTCTGACTGCTGCATCTCCATCCTCTTCTCCATTTCCATGATTTTCTTCTCCTTCTCTTCCTTCCTTAACCTCTTCATCTCCTTGTACATTTCTTTGTTCTGGTTCCACAGAGCTCTTCGCTTCTCCTTTTTAATTTGATTCTTAGATTTCTTGGGCATATTCTCTTGAGTATTCCCTCCCTCCACTTCAGGTCCTTCAGCCTTCAATTGGGTTTCTTCGAGTTCAGACGTCTTCTTTACTGATTCAGTCCCTTCGCTGCCAGGTTCAGTAACCTCTGTAATTGGTTTATTTGCTTCTTTGTCCAGTTTAGTTGTCTCTTTATCCTCTTCTCCCTCGACCTTGCACTTCTCCATAGCTTCTGCAACCTCTCTGCTCTCTTGACCTCTCAAGTCCTCGGCTTGCTCATCTTTTGTGTCCTGGACATCTGATTTTAAGGCAGCAACAGACTCTTGAACTCCAGCATGAGGGTTATCTCCATTTCTCTCCATTCCCTCAGATGCTTTGGAATCAGACATGATGAAGTGCACTAGAGTTCTAAGATGAAAGTTGTGTTGAGAAAAACGAATTCCTGGCGCCGAACAGCTGCCAGCACCAATTCCACAGGAATTTATACAGTCACTCAAATTCACAGCCAAATATCTTCTGTGTTCTGAGATTTTATGAAAGCTTCTGATACTAGTAAAATGCAAGTTTGTACTTGTGATAGTCTTCAGGCAGTTATTCTGTATGCCAGAAAAGGCACTGACGTGGCACCTAACTAACGCAAATTTAAAAAGTTTGCTAGAGGCTGGCATTCGTTCCCAGAGGTACCCGATTCAGGACAGGTAATTCTCTGTCACAGCGATGTGTCACAAGCAGACAGCCTCTTCTAATCCAAATGTATGGATGATATCGTTAACCTGAATGAATTTCACTGCTGTAAACTGTTTACAAACAGACATACAGTTTAAACTGTTGAATCAGCGGTATTGATCACACGGATGTAAACAAATACATGTGGTCGTTAGTAATGCAGACATAAACTTTTAATAATCTGAAAAATAAATACCGAAGAAAAAATCTTAGCTTATTATTTCTGCGTGTTACATATTTATTTTTGTCAATTCTGACATTCTTGTGATAACCAAAATTTAAAAATAAATAAAATTATGTGACAACCATAGACGCGGGAAGTTTGAATCGGCTAGTACGTAAACGGTTCCGGAAGGGTGAAACACAACACTATCGACAATATAAACACATGCAAACATATATGCATATATATACATATATATATATATATATATATATATATATATATATATATATATATATATATATGTATGTATGTACATATAAATATGTGTTTCATGGAAACAAACGGTAGCATCTTTAATCCTAATAGCCACGTGGTGTTCTGAACGTGGATTAAATGAAACTGCTAATATGATTCTGTGAACATCATGCGTATGTACGTATGTAATCTTCGGATGTGAAACTTATTTCTACTAATGGCTATTTTATATCTGCCTTTGTTTCATGAATTTGTGAAATTATGGGCAATAAAGACTATAGTTGGCAAATGTATTGTTGAAAAAAAACGTTTTGTTTTCAGAATGTCTTCTTTTCCAAATATTTCCAATGATTTCTCGTTTATAACAGTAAAATGGAAATAAATGATAGTATTCATGCAAAACGAAGGTGATATTGTTATGGCATATGCACTACATATTGCTTATTGATAAAATTTTTCTCCACTTCTTCCATTACCTTAATAATTTTTCTTTAAATTTTGCTTTATAGTAAGACTGCAAGGCATCATCAATTCTGTGAAGGATGTTCCACAATATATTAAGAAAATTATATCTAGAGCACCAATTGCATATTTTTACCATCTATTGTTTTGGCTTATGTCAAAATTGATTCAGACCTAAAAGTGTATTCATCCAAAATATTTTTCCTTTTTCTTTAAACCATTCTTCAAACTTAAGTTTGAAGCAGACAAAGAAAAAAAACATGTAACATAATTGGAAGTTATACACTGAAAAATGTGAAGAGTATCTAGAAGTATTAAAAGAAGAAAATGAGTGTTTGGATAGATCTGTAGTACGTATGTAATAAATGAAAAGTAATAATTATTAATTTTGTTAACCATATCAGTAGCATGTGCATGCATATTACCTTTTTAACGGATGTTTTGGTATAAAGTAGTAATTTCAATGGAAGTCAGAAGAAACAATTGCATAGCAGTAAAGGTTCAGAATAAAATTCAGTATAAAAATCAATCATATATTTTTCGTTTAAGAAGCTAATCACACCACTTGTGCTGCCTAATACATTGAAGTATCTTCGTTCAGATCGTGAAAGAGATTTTTCCAGCATATAGATAAGGTGATGGTGAAAGCAGCTGAAAGGTGTTCCAGTTGAAACAGCAATGTTAACGAAGTCCTTCACACATTCTAAAGGTGTGCTCTCATAGCCTGCATACATAGCAGGGTTCTCCAGTATACCTCTTGCAGCCATCACACCTGTGGGGGAAAGCCT